AACATGGGAGGAAAATAGAATTTAGAAAAAAGTTTTATGTACAGTCATATTTCTCCTGGTGGAAGATTTTCTATAACTTTTAGGAATACAATATATGTAACTTAGTTGCTCTTAAAAATAATAATTTGTTAAATATGATTCAATGTATGGTTTATACAGAAATAATTACAAAATTTCTAATTGAATTTATTAATCATAGAAACATTTGGAAATGCATATTAAATTTGGTAGTGCTTGAAAATTCATGAACTTTTTTGCCACCTTAACATTGTGCAAATGCTTCCATATGTGAGAATTATTCACGATTTGGTTGAAGAAAAGTCTAATTCAGTTACTAACTTGAGTATAAACATTAAACTAATTCTGCAAAACTCTAGTCATATTGTTTGTCTAGCTGTAATTCTAAAGTAGCTTTGTTGTGGGGGGCCAGCCCCTGCAGAGAGATTTAGGGGGTCCCTTGGAAGGTGTGGCAGCATCAGCGATTATTCTGGAAAGAGAAAGAGAAAGAAAGAAGAGAGGGGAGAAAGAAAGAGACTGGACTCCTGCTCAAGTGACCAGAAGCCATTTAATGGGTGTAAACTCAGGGCTTTTATCCCCAAACTCTGTAAAGTTATCATCACGGGAACTCCTGCTGCTGTGGTTACACAAAAGGTAGCGTGTGCCTTTCACATGAACAGGTCCAGGTGCACACAGGACACCCCCCACTCTCAAGCATATGTATTTTTCAAACATAAGGAAAAACATGAAGTTCTTATCCAGTTTCTATGTACCCTTAATTGTTTATAGCTATATAACATCGTTCAATGCTTACACCTAAAACCAACATAATGATATATTGCCTTTTACTATTCTATGCTAATTCAAACTCGTTTCTGTAAAACAGTTGGTGCTATGGTTACCCTCTCCTAGCACCAGCTGGCCTAATACAGACTTCACTAGCCCCCCTAAATCAAACTGAACTAACCACACTTCTGTAATAAAATGGTTACTTAATTTTTCTTAATCTGTATAAACTATTTTCTAAAACCTATATCTATAAATTTCTAAAGGTTGCATCAAGAGAACCTGTGACTGTACTAAGGCTTCGCAGTGTGACTCAAAGCTAAACCTAAATTGTGATAAAGCAAATACCATAAGCCGTGGGGAGTGGGAACAAGAGACTCCTAGGTTAGCTGTGTACATTCCGGTCTCAGAGTTTTCTGTTAGAGCCAGCTGTAGCTTTTCTTGGTAGTTTGTGCCGAATGGAAAAGGAGGGAGGGAATGGGTCAACAGCTCCCGAACACATCCTAGCGGTCTCCGGGTCTACGGCCCTTCCTGATCCCTAACGCTCAGTGGGCCTCCGGCCCTTCCTGATCCCTAACGCTCAGTGGGCCTCCGGCCCTTCCTGATCCCTAACGCTCAGTGGGCCTCCGGCCCTTCCTGATCCCTAACGCTCAGTGGGCCTCAGTGGCCGGCTCCCGATACTTTGTTACAAAGCATCAGGTGAGGGGAAGTTCTGATATGTTGTATTTAGGTTTTGACAGTATGTTATTGGCAGATCATTGACAGGAACCTGTTAGTATTATACTAACATAGGTTATAGTGTCAGAGTCACAGAGCTAGAAGGAGGTGGGTTTCTACTCCTTTCCAGCCCCAGAGCTTTGGATTTGCTCTGTCCTGAACTTTCTTTTTTTTTTTTTTGAGTTGAGATCTCACTCTGTCGCCCACACTGGAGTGCGGTGGCCCCTCCCGGCCACTGCAGCCTCGACCTGCTGGGCTCTGGCGATCCTTCTGCCTCAGCCTTCCAAGTAGCTGGAACTATAGGCGTGCGCTACCACGCCCAGCTAATTTTTGGTTTTATTGTAGAGATGAGGTCTCACCAAGTTGCCCGGGCAGGTCTCGAACCCGCGGGCTCAGGCAATCCACTCACCTCAGCCTCCCAAAGTGCTGGGATTACAGGCTGAGCCACCGAGCCCGGCATGTCCTGAACTTTCTGAGCATAGGAGAGAATTACTTCTTTTTCATACTTTCTAGAAGAAATGGGCAAGGCCTGTATTTTTCTGTTTTAAGATCTTGTCTGAATGTCCACTATAATTGTACTAGCCTTTTGCTTGCAAGGTCAGTGAGAAGCTGCCCATAATTAAAGAAGACAGAAAAAACCACAGTCCATCCACTCAAAATCCACCAGACATGTGGTTTGCTTTTATGTTAGAAATGTACTATAGCTTGTTTATAAGTAGAAACGTGGTTTGGGGAAGAAAAATCTATTTGAGAGCTGAATGTCATAGAGTGCATATCTTTGTTTAATCCTTCTATGAATTATTTACCTTAACGATTTTCAGCTCTGTACTACTATTATAAGCACAATTGTAACACTGAAGGTCTGATAACTGAACCTTTGAGTGCCTTGCTCAGAAAACAGTGTTACTTTTAATTAATTTAGGTTTATGAGAAGTGCCTTTTCCTACTTAAGGTGTGGCATTTTCTGATCTTTGGTGGAGCTCTTGCTTATGGTTGTGCTGCTGGAGACCACACTTGTGGTTCCCTGGGGGCAGCATCAAAGAATCCAGTAGCAGCTGTATCAACAGAGATGTGCCTGTGTATTATTGTGGTTCAGAAAGTACTTTGAGGATTGGGCATTTTATGCCAAAATACTAACTTTGTAATATGGAGTAGTAAGGGATTTGGCAAAACCACTTTTAAAAGAAAAAAAGGAATTTGTACTGAAAAATGAGAAAATTCTAGTTCTTTTATCTGGTATAAGAATTTCATCTCATTAAGTAGTGTTTTTAGTTCCTCATTTTATTTACACATATGACCATTTAAATATATGGTGTTTATTCACTAAAAATGCCATTAAATTTTATTTGTTTCATGATTACAAATACTCCTTCAAATCCTAACAGGCTGCCTTGTACATTTTGACCAGAATAGAATAGACAAACCCCAGTTTTTATCAATGTAGGCCTGAGCTCTTTTAACAGTAAACTTGAAATCTTTTTTTTCTGTCTTTCCCTTCCAACATTTGGGTGCCCAAGTAGTAAAATAACAAAATGTTTCTTGTGTGATTACTAGTTATCTTCCTATTTTATATGAATTTGTAGCAGTTTTGTCAAGGACATTTGATCAGTACTTTTCTGTTGTATATGATTGTAAGTGATTATATTTTTATTTAATTCCTTTCCCTTAAGAGGGCAATGTTTTATAACATGTGTACATTTAAACTAATATTGTTAGATTTCTATCAATAGAGGAGGCTTACATTATCCTATGGAAAGAATGAAGAGTAGGAGGAAATCCTAATATCTTGTTCCTAGTGAGACAGTGAGGTGATCTGCCTTTTAGGCTGCCTCTCAAGGAATGCTAGAAATTGTCTGGTTGGGTTATGACATTTAAAAAAATTTCTACAGATTTTTTATATGTTGTATGCTAAAATTATAATCAGTAATTAAAATCTCAGCCAGCCATGTGGCTCACACCTGTAATCCCAACACTTTGGGAGGTGGAGATGAGAGGATCGCCTCAGTCCAGTGTTTCAAGACCACCCTGGGCAACATGGGGAGACCTCATCTCTACAATGAATCAAAAAATTAGCCGGGTTTGGTGGTACATGCCTGTAGTTCCAGCTACTTGGAAGGCTGAGGTGGAAGGGTCACCTGAGCCCAGCAGGTCGAGGTTGCGGTGACTGTGAGTGTAATCACTCCAGCCTGGGCGACAGAGTAAGAGACTAACTCAAAAAATAAAAATAAAATAGTAATTGAAATCTTAGCTTTTGAAAATTCTTAATGAATTAATTAATTTAACAGGTTATTCTGGCTGAAAAACAATTTATACCTTTGTGAAAGTTTTAAAAATTTATTTTAACCTTATACAAGTGAAAATAAATTCATTTCATACTTTTCTCCTTAAACATAGCAGACAGCATGACACTTGGTTATTTACTTGATAATTTGCTTGATTATGTGGTGTTATTATTTTGCTTTAATATATAATACCACTAGAGCCTTTTTATTTCTCTGACTTTATTGAATACTTATTGTAAGCTAGGTACCACTCTAGGCATGATATTAATAGAGTTATCTGCTGAATAGTATCAGACTGCAGTTCTTTGAATTCTGGCTGAATTTAGTGTAGTGTTAAAAGCATAAATTCAGAAACCAGATTGTTAAAATTTGAATCCTGGCTGTACTACTAATTTGACGCGTGCCTGTAACTATAATACTGTTAAGCACTAGAAAGAATAGACATTTTTTAGTATCATAAAATGATTTCTTCAGTTGTCTTATAAGTGAATACAACCCCTCTTTGCCTCAAATATTGTGTCTGTACTTGGGGCCGGTGACCTACCTCATAGCGTTGTTGTGAGGATTAAAAATAACATGTAAAATGTTTGAAATAGTGTCTGGCACATAGTGCTATAAAAGCGTTAGTCATTAGTACCATGAGTTCTATTGTTACTATGACTTCATGGTGCTGTCATCCTGCTTGTCCCATCATCTCTCTCTCTCTCTCTCTCTTTTTTTTTTTTTTGAGTTGGAGTCTCACTCTGTCGCCCAGGCTGGAGTGCAGTGGCTAATAGTTGTAGTTCTGTAGCTGGAACTACAGGCACGTGCCACCATGCCCGGCTAATATTTTGATGTATTGTAGAGAGGTGGTCTTGCCAGGCTGGTCTGGAACTGGTGGGCTCAGGCAGTCCTCTCACCTTCGCCTCCCAAAGTGCTGGGATTAAAGGCGTGAGCCACTGCTCCCGACTCCATCTTCTCTTTAAATGTCTCTAATCTGGGAAAAGATAACCAGACTTGTTGGAACTAAGTGCAAAATAAGAGCAAATTGTATGAACCCTGAGGTTTCCTTCCAAGAAAACAACGTATGAGTACTGTGTATATGTTGGTATTACATTTTGGCTGCTGAGAAACTTTTGTTCTTAGGTACAGCATTTAATAGGCATACTTATAAGTGAATCTTGAATAAGAAAAAATATGAAGTAAAGTTTGTCTTAATAAACAGGATTTGTTTTTTAGGGAAAAAGATCTTGAAGAAGCTCTGGAAGCAGGAGGTTGTGATCTCGAAACCTTGAGAAACATAATTCAAGGAAGACCGCTGCCTGATGATCTGAGGGCTAAAGTTTGGAAGGTAACTGGAAATTAAAATTTAAAAATAATCACTTTTTTTTTTGTTTCAGCTGGCTTAGTTGATGAGACTTTATTAGCATGCATGCCACATCTAGAAAATTTGTCAAACAACAGTTTATTAAAATGTGTGTTTCTGTAGTATTTGGTATGTTTAATTGTTTAATAATAATGGTCTAGTTTTAGAAGTAATGTATTCTTTTGTAGCCATTAAAATGGTGTTGAAATTTTTAAAAACCTTATATACATTTCAAAAATATAAACAATAAATACAAGATACATAAAATATAAAAGTGCTGCTGTGGCTGAGTCAGAGTGATGAACCAGTTAGAATATATTGGGCTATCATAGTGTTTATTCTTTAGTTTCTAATTTCTTGGTTATTAAGGATTGAGCTTGTGACCTCAGATAGTCCAATGCTTCCTATTATTTTGCAAGGATGTAGGGGTTCCCTGTGTCGGAATTGACTTCATTATCTTTGATTTCTAACCTCTTTACAATCCTACAAAAATATCCAAGAAGCTTAAACAAACAAACAAACAAAATCTTATTGACAAAAATTTGAGAGTTCTAAAGTCCTGTACATCTAGGACAAAATTATTAGTGACATAAAAATTGTAACTATTGGAACTTTATTCAGATACTCATTTAGTTAATAGTGAATTAGTGTAGCACAACTCTATAATTAGTTCATTAAATTATAAGGCTCCTTTTTGAAAGGTTTAAAAATATTAACTTGTTAATAAGGAAACTTTGCTTTATTTATAGAAGAAATTTAAAATGTAGTATAATTCTTTAAAAAAGCAACTGCTTGTATAGAAAACTATGATTCACTCTTTTGTATTTCTAAAGTTAAGGTACAGGAATAAAGTCTGGGACTTTTGGGAAAAATGTGAATGGCCAGCAGTGAACTATGTAATTTATCCTTTTTAAATACATTCTGCTATATTTTTAAAACAAAATTTAAATAAAATCTTAAAATTAGTCTTTGAACTGAGAAAAAAGTATTGCTGAAAGGCTGTAGGCATGGATAATAAAAATATTAAACTTTTATAAAAAAAAAAAAAAAGAAATGGTGTTTATAACTGGGTGCAGTGGCTCACGCCTGTAATCACAGCACATTGAGAGGCCGAGATGAGAGGATTGCTTGAGCCCAGGAACTCAAGGTTACAGAAAGCCTGGACAACAAAGTGAGTCTCTTTCTTAAAGAAAATGGAAGAAAGTAAATTTATGAAAATATTTTAGTTACTTGGGGAGATACAACCAATGAGTAAAATAGGATATGTAATTGCAGATATGGAATTATCACAACTATGTTTTAAAAACAATAAAGGGAAATATGGCTCTAAGTGGGTGTTGGGTTATAGATTTTTTTTTCTTTTTTTTTTGAGTTGGAGTTTCACTCTCACCCAAACTGGAGTGCAGTGGTCTGCTCCCAGTCACCGCAACCTCAACCTGCTGGTCTCAGGCAATCCTTTTATCTCAGCTTTCCTAGTAGCTGGAATTACAGGCATAAGCCACCAGGCCCAACTAATTTTTTGATTTATTGTAGAGACAAGGTCTTGTCAGGTTGCCCAGACAGATCTCAAATCCCTGGGCTCAGGCAATTCTCTTGTCTATGCCAAAGTGCTGGGATTACAGACATGAACTACTGCACATGGCCAGTGGGTGATTTTTCTTTATATTTTGCTATTCAACTGTTCTCCAGCGCATATGTATTATTCTTTTTAAAAATTTAGAATTCGACTGGGCTCAGTGGCTCAGCCTGTAATTCCAGCATTTTGGAAGGCTGAGGTGAGTGGATTGTCTGAACCCGCAGGTTCAAGGCCCGCCTGGGCAACTTGGCGAGACCTCGTCTCTACAATAAATCAAAAATTAGCCAGGCATGGTAACGCGCGCACCTGTAATTCTGGCTACTTGGAAGGCCGAGACGGAAGGATTGCTAGAGCCCAGCAGGTTGACCCTGGGGTGGCTGTGAGCGTGCCACGGCACTCCAGACTGGGCGACAGAGTGAGACTTCAATTAAAAAAAAAAATTAGAATTCATATTTTGTTATGATTACAAAAGAAATACATATATTTGTGGAAGCATATACACAGAGCAGTTCCCAACATTCCCAACATTTCTGGCATCAGGGACCAATTTTGTGGAAGACAGTTTTTCCACTGACGAGGGGAGGGATAGGAGAAGAGGGGAATCATCAGGCATTAGCTTCTTGTAAGGAGCGGCAACCTAGATCCCTAGATCCCTCACGTGTGCAGTTCACAATAGAGCTCAGGCTCCTATGAGAGTGTAATGCTGCCTGATCTGACAGCAGGTGGAACTCCTCTCACTTGCTCTCACCTCCTGCTGTGCAACCAGGTTCCTAACAGGCCACAGACTGGTACCAGTTTGTAGCTTAGGGTTTGGGGACCTCTGTTATACAGTATAACATGTAAGTACAAAGAATAAAATAAAAATCATCTGTTATCTACTGCCTATAGGTAAAATACATAGTGTCTTGGTGTATATCTTTTTACATTTTTCCCCCATGCATATATATTCAACAGAAATAGAATTATGACTGTACATAGTATTTTGAATGTTATTATAGAAATTTCAACACAAAGTATAGAGACTTGTATAATGAAGAACCCCCATATGCCCGTAACCCAGCTTTAACGACTATCAACATTTGACCAATCTTATCTGTTAGTATCCCCACCCCACCCTTATTTTAAAGCAAATCCTTGGTAGCATACTCATACTTTAATGTGAAAGTTTGAAATGCTTAAAAGAAGAGTAACTTTTTTTTTTTTTGAGTTGGAGTCTCACTCTGTCGCTCAGACGAGTGCAGTGGCCGTTCCTGGCCACCGTAGCCTCGACCTGCTGGGCTCCGGCGATCCTTCCGCCTCAGCCTTCCGAGTAGC